ATCGAACGCTTTTCAATTCGGACACGCGACTCGTCGCGACGCGGCGCCTGGTGATCGACTGTCTTTATCTGGGGGCTCGATTTTGATTCACGCGGACAGCGGACGCCGGCTCTCGCGTTTTATCTAGCCTACACCAGCTAGAAAGGGGACCCCGAATCGAGCCACCTTTCCCCCCTCGATGACGGTTATTTATACCCCTACTCTACCCCTTCTATTGGACGTCGCGAGGAGAAACTACGGCGACGTCGGGGACGACAGAAGCGTCCGGGCCGATTAATTTCCTGGTGGAACGACCACGGATCGAAGGCGACCGGATGAAAAACGCGAGAATAAAGAGAATTCGTCGCAACCTTCTGTGTATACAGGTACACGGTGGATTTTTGTGAAGAGGCGTGGAGAATATCCGGGAAAAGCGAGCATTGTGACGGAAGGAACAGCTCGAGCGTGTCGACGCGCGAGATCCTCCAGCGAACCAACCAGTCCGGCAAAACGGACAAAAACGGCATTATAAGCGGGCTCCTATTATGTGATTGTTATGAATTTCCTATTAATAATAAATAAACAAACATAATGGGAAGCTGTCGCGGTGCGTTAGACAGCGGGACGCATCTGGTGTTTCATTGAGCGACAGAAACGGAGAAGGGGGGTTGGTTGTTGCACTTTCATCTCGACGACGGAGCGGACCAGGCGTCTGAGAATGGATTCTCTCGGTCGCGCGATTGGCTCGATACGAGATGTGCCGCCCCGTCATTGGCCGCCGCTCGAACAATGACCGGTTACAAATCATCCCCTTTTATACCCCGAAGCGACCAAGTACGCGTGACGATTCCTTCCTTTTTTTCTCTCTTCTTTTCCTCTTGTCTTCTTTCTCTCTTTCTCCCGCGTGTACACGGACACCGTGGAGGGTAAATTTGATTCGCGCGCCGCTCACTCGAGTTTTATGACACGGAGATAGAGATTCTGGCAGCAAATTGAAATTTATCATCCCTTTCACGGACGATACTCTTGTTCGCTTATTGTTCGAGCAAGAAAGGTAGGATTTTCGGTTGAATCTCCGAACGAACGTTTCTCTATTTGTGTGTACCTCCACGGAGAGGAAGGGCTAATGGTGTTTTGGACGGAGCAATCGTTGGAACGTGTCGCGAAGACACGCGGGCAGATAAGGGAGGGAAAGATTTTTCGCGCGTACAAACAGCACGGAGTAAAACAAATTTCTGTAGGAAGGAGACGGATAGAGCGAGGTTCGAAACGTCCAAGTCGTAAAGTCAAGTTTGCAATAGGAACAGGTAGAGATTTGGACCGGTTGGGTCCACGGTAATCCGTGGTGCATCTCGTCCTAATCCTGTTTGCAGGATCAGCCGACCGTTGCAGCCTGTGTTTGATTATTTTAGGATTTTCCAACGCGAAAGCGTTTCGCTCGGGGCGTCGGATCGCTCTGGCGCATGCACGCCCACCGGTAAATCCTCTTTGAATCTTCCACTCTCGGATCGGAAAGCTCGCAATGCCGTGCAAATTGAACCGTTAAAAAATCGTTGAAAAATCGTTTACAATTCGAATATTTGAAAATTACTGCTGCAAGGTTTACAGAGACGTCTGTTTTATCGTAAAGAATAGAAATTGAAAAGCAGGGAACGTGAACGCGAATTAGAAAAGCGTCGAAGGCGGAGTAAGTTAGTCACCTGCAGAATGTCCGGTGTCCGGCCGGTTGCTGCTGGTGCCTAGCACGACAAAAGGCCAGGTATTTAAGATTCCATTGTACCTTTTAAACGGCCGGCATTATTTCGTTAAACTGTAGGCGTGGTGCGAATTTCGGGCTACGCTGCCCCCGGAGACTTGCGGATTAAAGGACCGACGCTGCAGGACGTGGCCTTTGCCATTTCTAGCTCGTGCAAAAAATTTCACAGCAACAGTAAAACCTTCGTACCGTGTAAAAACAATTTGAACCAAGAAAATTCCAACATCGGAACACAATCGACCCCACAATTTCCCTCCGCGAGACACGGAAATTCCTCTGAAAATTTCCAGATTAAAAATAGCAGCAGCCGTGAACGGTCTCCAACGTTCCCTAAATCTCTGTCAACGCGGTGCGTCGACAAAAGTGTGATCGTGTTGGTGGATCGAGCACGCGCAAGTCAGAGAAGTAGAAGGGAGAGATGGGTGGCGCGTTGCGTCAATTTGAAAACGGCTACTTTGCTCCCAGGACAGCGTCGAAGCTCGACGAGTTAGCTAGGGGAGTCGCTCGACCATGAAACGCCAAACTAAACGGCGCTTCGAGGCCCAAATATGAGACCCGACTCCCCTCGACGCAGCCACACTCTGCCCCTACGCACATTCTCCACCGTCTTCTGTCTCGTACACACCGAGGCACACACGCACGCACGCAGGCGAGAAGGAAACGCGTGTATTTATTCCGTGGTACGCGAGGAAAGCGCAAAAAGGGCATAATGGACCCCGTAGCCAGATAGGTGTGTATAATGAGGTTAGCAGAGGGGTGGAGTAAGAGAGACTAGGCGAAGCAGGGTGGTTGAGTCGCGACAACAGAGAGGGGAATAGACGACGGTAGGAGATGGAGGGGGATCGTTCCCCCTCATCCAGGACGCATCTGCCCCATTATGCTGCCCCGGGGCACTCCCGAGACCATTAATCCTCGCTAAACGACAGCCATTTTGTACCTAAACTGGATTGCCGACTCACTAACTGGTTTTGAGGACGCTTAATAGACTACTCGCCGCTCCTATTATGGCGATCGCGCATCCGCGCTATATTTCGGTGTCGTTTATTCCACCGCTAATGTGCAAACGGCTTTGGGAATGTCCTCAGACGAGCCGGCTAACTCCTCCTTCGCGTGGAAAACGGGGAACCGGGGCTCTCTCCTCTTCGATAGGACAGTGGGGTGCCTCGTTCTTGATCCCGAGGGTCCTCGCTTTCGCGGCCAAGTCAGACGATAACGACGGCGACGATCGCGGTGGTAATTGGAAAGAATGCCGATATCTCGATGGTTATTAGGGTCACGGGGTCTTGGTGAATTAACACCTTTGGGAAACTGCGTGGAAAGATGATTCTTTTGGAGAAAATGGTGATTTCAAGTACGAATTTTGGATGTATATCTTTGAAACTCTTTGGGAAAGCACTTTTCTCTGAGATAAAATTATAACTCTGTTTATCTGAACTCTTAACGTAATTTCGTTAATTTATTTCGGAGGTTAAGTGCAATCTAACCTAACCAAGAATAAAGTTACGTTTGGAAACAGCCTAACTGTACTTCGTCTTCTTTTACCTATAGCTTTCGCGATTCAAGTTACGTTAACAACAATAACGAAACAAACAGAAGTTTAGTGGGAGGACCAGAGAGTCTTACCACGATCGTTCCCCCGAAAGATCCTCCATTTTCGTCGGCTGGCAACCAGAGGAGACACCCTGTCGCGCAGTTGTAACAAGATTTTGGTTAATCGGCTTGACTCTGTGACGGTAAACTCTGTGCTCCTCTTCCCTTCGCGCAGGCCCTCCCACGGGACATTGCGGCTTTCTTCCGTCACTCCGGACTATCTCAGCGGCAACCTGCCGATCGGATTACTTTAATCCTAAAATATTGTTCGCCTGGTATAATAACAACATCGCGAAGACTCGACCGAACCCTGAAACCTTCCACGACCACGAGCTTCTAATGCCCTTTTGATGAGGATTCACTCGTTACCCGTCGCAATTAATTTCGCGCTCCGTAACATCATTAGGCTGTTCTTTGATCCACGGATTTACCAACCCTTTGACAACCAAGTAATGAACTCTCTCTCTCTCTCTCTCTCGCCCCTCTACCTCTGTGTCTTTTCACACCAACTTTCCAAAAATTCACACGCACCTAGACAACGATCTAGAGAAAACAAAAAAAAAAGTACTCCATAGAATCAGAAACTCTTATCTACGATCCTACACGTTTCACACTCTCGTAGACCATCTCTCCGGCAGCCAGTCATTTCCTGTCTCCAGCCGGTTTCAAATCCACAACAAGTACGTCAAAAACCTGCCAATCAAACTTCCAATTTCCATCAATCACCTATACCGCTCGATGTACCACCCCTGTATCCATCCTCCACGCGACCAAACCTATCCTCCACTCCCATCCACACACACACACACACACACAGAGCGAGATCGTGAATTTCTCCACGCAGAGTGAAAGAAGAAAAAATAAGCCGCATCCAGTGAAACGTCCCAAAGATATCCCCGCGACAACGTCATTATCCCATCAAACAGTCGCTCAGGCTTAACGCGCGCTGCATGGAAACGAGGAGGAATCGTAGGCTGTTCAAGAGCAACTCACCTACACTCCACATCTCCATACACACACTCTCAGGGATTGCCAATCAATTCGCGCATCGCGCCCGGGAATTAGACAATTAGGAGTCGTCACGTTCCCCGAGCAGTCGCCTCATCATCCCGCGTCGTCGTTCCGCTTCAGCCCCTTTCCCAACCTTCTCCCCCCGCCCCGACACACACGCGCGCACACACACACGTTTCAATTTCATCCCCACCGTCTATATAGCGCCACACCGTTTCCCAAAGCCTCGCAACGCCATCTGGCAGAGCTGGTGGAGGTGCAATCGGGAGAACCCGTGAGGACACTTCCCCCTCGTACGCAGGAGAATAGCCTCCTGGTAGAAGTGGAAGCGTACGATTGGACGTTCGCCGCGTTCGAAACACGCCCATCGTGGAACGGTCCCGTTTAACACTGTCGTGGAGCCGGAGTGGTCCGCATTGGCCGTGGATAGGACACGGTACCGGTTCCACGGGTTTCGCGGGGGCGGCGCGCCACGGCGGCAAGCACCGCGACGCCGGCCGCCAGCGGGAAGAGAGAGAACGCCTCGCGGCAGGCCTGGCCGCAGCCAGCTCGGTAATCAGTGTCGTTTCCGCGGCAGCACTGGCCACCACGCGGCAGATTACGCAGATTACGCCGACTCTCTCTCTGTGCACACACACACACACACACACACGACACACGACACACCACACACACGTATATACACAGAGCGGCGCGGAACCGAACGTTGTGTGACAGACACGGTATTGTGACAGTGCGACGGGGAGCTGCCGCGCGCTCGCTATATCGGGAAGCATTCGCCGCGAGATTCGTCTTCGATAAGAGGAGGAGACGAAGGAGGAGGAGGAGGAGGAGGAGCAAGGTTGAAGTTGTGTTTGGATTTTTGGCTACGCGGGTTCAAATACGGTTTTCAAGCTTGTGGCACATTCAGACCGATTCGTATCCAGTGGGCTTGAGGAATTGTGAACATTGAAGTTGACACGAAGTAGAGAAGTAGAAAAAGAAGGACGACGAGGAAGAGTGGTTGGAGTTTCGACTGGTTTTGTTGAGATACCGTTTTGGAAGCTGTCTTTGTTGAGAGTATATTATTGTACGAGTGAGAGAGGAATATTGTGAATATCGAGAGATATAATGCTGTCGGGTGTCTAAGGGAGGAGAGTAAAGGAAGAAAAGGATGGAAACGTCATGGTGATCTCGTAAAGAAGGTGCACTGACTCTAATGGGGGGATCCGCTCGTACCGGCTCGGTGTATCCGCGGCGATGCGGCGGATTCCGGGAATAACGGGGCTGAAAGCGTTGAGAATGCGAGTCAGTGAGCAATCCCGATGATATTGCCAGATAGACACCGATTCAAGTGCCGCTGCTACGATGACAGTTGCCTGTTGGCTGTCCCGCTGATGCTCAGCTAGTACACACGAGTCGATGGATAAGCGAGAAAAATAGAGAAGGATGAGAGTGTAGGACTAGGTTGGATGATATATCCGATGGTAGAGGAACGGTTACCCACGGGGGGATAGAGCGGAATCGGACAGGCGAGTGTACGCTCGTTAGTGAGGCGGAGATAGCCTGAGTGAAAATTACGATGCGCGTTAAGTGACCGATGGTGAGGTCTTGCAGAGACATTTAGGGGCCGCGAGACGTCTAACGAAACTGAACTTACACCGAGGTTGCTATAGGTGCCGATAATTTATAGCCAAGCAGCTCGCGCAGTCCGAAAGGAGAAAGAGATCGGACTTAGAAAGTCCATAAACCTTTCGTCGAACTCGTTCCTCTCGATCCCTGATCCTCGACACGCCGATGCAACACAGCCGAGGGAATAAAAAGTGGTTAGACATGAGCAGCAGCGAGGGCGTGGTGACTGGTCAGGGTACCGGAAGCGATCGTCTCTGCGAGGACGTCGATATGGCCACTTCAACGTCCGCGTCGTCTAACCTGAAGCCGCGAAGCGGCAAGATCAGCTTCAGCGTGGACTCCCTGCTGAGCGACATGAAGAAGACCGCGGTGAGCGGCGGCGCGTTCGCGAGACGAGAGAACGACGATCGTATGGAGACGGAGAAGAGTCTGGACATGGAGGCGAGGTATCGAGAATTATTGATAGAACAGCAGAGACTACAGAGCAGAGAGCTATTAGCGAGGCTTAGCCCACACGGATTAGCGTTCGCGAATCATCATCATCACCCGTCGAGCAGACTGGATCAGGATCATCCGTCGGCTGGCCGGCAGGAGATCCTAACCGTGAAGGATTTCTCTAGAACGACCAGCCACGACAAGTCGTCCTCGCCGATTCGAATAGACCAAGAGGTGCAAAGGGATCGCGACGATCGACGATTGTCAGCCAGCAGCTCGCCGGCGAACAGGATCACCGAATCTATGATACAGAGGGAACGGAGCAGCCAGGACGAGGACGAAAGGATCGACAGGATCAACGATCCGCGATCCGTGTCACCTGTGAGCAGACGCGAGATCATGGACGATAGAAGCGACTCAGAGGCGAATCGTTCGCTGGAAGGCGACAGAACCGATCATCTCGACCTGGAGGATCAAGAGATCAGAAGCGTGGGCCATTCGGAGGACTTGAACGTGATGGACTCGGATTGCGAGCTCGAGAGAGAACTGGACAGCAATCAGGAGAAAGAGGAGAAGTCAAGTCCGGTAGTGCCTCAACCGATTCATCCAGGAGTTCAGAGGCCCTCTCAGGGACCGCCTTACCTAACCGGAGCACCCGGTGCACCCGGTTGGAATCCCGCGGGATTTCCGCATTCTCTCGCGGGATTCGCGTGGCTACCCCCACCCCCGCACCCACACAATCCCCATGGACATCTTTACACGCCGCACGGAGGGCCCACCAGTCCGAACGGTAAGTGTTGTATCGCTCTTCTTCATCTTTATCCTTCGTCGTTGTCCCTTTCTTATTGTTGGCCAACTTTCCCCTTCCCGTCTTCGTTTCACCTCTTCGCACGTTTACCACCTTTCTCTCTCTCTCCATCTCTCTCTTTCTCACTCGTTCAAATCGATGCTTTCAATTATACACTTCACGATAGAGGGATTAATTTAGCGTACCGATAAGAGTGGAACGAAAGGGGGGCGAAGATTGAAGGAAAGTCAGAATTTAAGAGGCAAGAATTCACGTCAAGACGGAAGCGGCTTATTATGAAATTAAACGATGAAAACGCTATCGCACGGCACGTATCTCGCGCCCCGAGCCAGCCTTAATTGCCGCGCAATTTTACAGCCGAATTGATCCCCGTGTACAGATTATTCGCAGTAAAGGAGTCCCTTAAGTGCGCGTTTAATCGTCGGTTGTAAAAACCGGACCCTGTTGTAATCCGCGTTGCTATCGCAATATTAAACTCCTGCTCGCTTATGTATCGTGTTTTTAACAAATTCCCACGCCGGTGAGATATGAAAAAAGAAACAATTGGAGCAAAGAAGCCTTTGCTTTTTCCGGTTACCGAATTGCAAGTGGAAAATAGCAAAGCGGTTCGCGTGAAACTGCTCGAAATTCAGCTTGGACCGTGGAAAGGAGCATCGATTGGTGCGCGCGCGCCACCCATTATTCTCCCCGGCATCAAAGCCACATCGCGCCGGCGGAATATTAGCCGAGGGCTAGGTACACGCTACTTATCAAGCCGATTTACGGGTCGGCGTAACTAACTCGCCTCCGTAAATCGTTGTTCTCGTTTCTTTTTCGCCTATCGGCCGCGGATTTCACCCGAGGCTTGCCCCGGCCGTACAATGTCGATGATTAGGAGAGGAGTAGAGTATAGGACGGTGGCGCAGCTCGCGACACACGCAGCCCCCATAACGCTCGATATTAGTGTCGCTGGTCACGCGAGAAGCCGGTTATTATCGGAATTACGTGCCAAAGCGTTCGCCACCGGCCCGCTTCTCGTTCTATACCGCGGTAATTGAACGCTGGAACTCGGAAGTTGTTACGCTGAAAAACCTTTTCCTCCTTCGGCCAGAAGATGACTGTGTTTCGACAAAGTTCCTCGCAAATTTACAGAGAATCTTCTCCTCTCGTCCTTTCGAAGCTCGACGAGGAGCGAAGCAGAGAAAGGAAAGTTGGCGAACGAGTGATTGATAAATCAAAGGAAAACGATTAGTTACGTCAGAGTAGCGGTGGCGTCTAACGATCGTTTCCACGAAACAATTTTCTCCGGCGAAAAAATCCAACTGTCTCGGACGTTAGGGCAGAGAGATGACGGTTAGATAAATCAGCGAGTGACGGGAGTGACTTTTGTTTCCCGTGGAGATAGGGCGTGGAATACGTCAACGGCGCGAAATAATCGGTCAATTAAACTAGGTTCGATTCACGAGTCGATCTTGAGCACGGAAACGCAGCATCGATGTGCCCTACCTTTACGTATCGAACTCGACACGTCTGATGGGAATTAATCGGAGAATTCTCCCTTAAGATTCAACTCTGAATATTCTTCTCGACAATTACACTCGTAATCCCTCCAGTGAAACTCTAACGATCGACAGTTGCGAGAGAGTGAATCCTGCAAAGAGATCACGCGAAACCATAACCAACAAGGCTGACCGAACCAGGTTCGACCGGGCGAAATTACGAGCGACGCGTAATGAGAAACTCGCGCCGTTTCCAAGAAAGAAATCTCCTCAGCGAGGCCCATTAAAGGCTTGTAGAAAAGTCTGTGGGTAGGAAGGAGGCAGAAACAGAAGGTGCTCTCCTCCTCTTGCTCCGTGTCCCGACGCTCGAGACAGAGAGGGTGGAGGAGGAGCACACGCAAGTTCGTACACCGGCTGAGCATGATAGAGTCATACATAACTCCGGCCATCCATAATGCATTCAAGTCGGGCTAAAAACTGCCCTTGTTAGGTTCGCCCTGGCACACCCAGCTTCCTGACCAACGTCAACCACCGCTGCTTTTTGCCCGTGATAACGACAAACCGCTCGCCTCTCTCTGTCTCGCTCCTCTTCCTTCTTTCCTCTCAGTAGCACAACATTCTACTTCGTACAACCCTCTCCAAACCACCGCAGCCTTTTTCATCCGTGGAGCGCGAGACCAATTACCCGCGCGTCTCCTAGGGTCGTAAGCCCCGTCTCGTCCGTTTCGAATTTCCTCGGACGCTGATTAACGCAACCTTTCCCCGACGTTTCTTCCCCGTCTCTCCGGTTCGACGGTCTCGCTGATTAGACAGCTTCTCTTCGAGGTGAACGAGTTTTTCGAGAAACGTTTCTGTATCGTGGGTGACCGTGGAACAGGATGGACAGGAGACGAAACGGTTCGACGTGTAGAAACGCGAAGTTTCGAGGGTTTGTTTGGGGGATACGTCGCGGGTAGAGATCTAGGGAAGAGTGGAGAATTGTGGATTCTTCCTTTTAGATGTCGTTTCTTCTGCGTTATCTTTTACAGAGGTTTAGGTTGCTCCTTTCTTCCGATATTCTCGTAGCTGTTGCAACGCTCGCCGAAGGGAATGGGTCGATTAGACGGATAGGGAGGTTGATGAGGCTAGCGAGGCGTTAAAGGTGTATGAATATTATCGCGCGAGCATTCAACTTTCCCGTTGCATCATCCATTAAAACGTCTAAGGTTGCGTCACTGGCGTGAACTTTCGAGCGCTGCGTCGGCTTTTGTGGCGGTCGTTGCACACATTTCACACGGTGTCGAATATTTTTCGACGGAGCCAGTCGGTTGTACAAATTGCCGTGAGCAAGAGCAAGAAGTTGTCCCATGGCTAAATTCGTACCGCGGACATTATCGAACAATGGGACGTCGTGGACGTCGTCGTCGTCGTCGTCGCGGCTCGTGGAAAAACGCGTCGTCGATGGACGGGAGTGGGATAGCTACCACGCAAAAACGTGGGCTAGCGTACGGAGTGTAAATGCAAATTAGAAATTGGTGACTTTCACCGGAACGGCGATGAGAAATATGATTTCTTTCGTGTCTCTGGGATTGATTGAGAAAATTGACTGCAGAACACTTTCCATCATTTTCTAATTACCGTTCAAGTTCGTATACCAGAAAATTCAGAATTTCGATTCTTCTAAAGTGAAAATTCTCTCAGATAAGAAATTGTGTTCTCGGTAAAAATGGAGATTTTATAGTAGAGGAGGCTTTTAATGGCGCTCATCATCGAGAAATTAGGAGAGAACATTTCTAATATCGATACCTGAGAGAATCCTCAATCTTCGAACTTCAGAAAATTCAAGATTTGCGATTTCAAGAAATCGAGTTTCCATCGATTTTCAGGGTGAAACGGAGATGTCGAAAGATCCAAACCCCTTCGATTTCCATCGGTTTTCACGGTGAAACGGAGATCTGACCGCGGAGGACGCGTAATGGCGGTCGTGGTGTAAAAATGTAAAAATTAGACGGTGAAAAGCTCATTACAGAGGAGGGGTGGTTATCGAGGGGAGGTGGTGGTTCGCGATACGAGGCTCGTTCAGCCGATAGATAATCCGGAGGCCTGTCACTGGGCGGTGGCGTTTCGAAAATTATGAATACGGACGTCATTTATAACGCTCGAACGCCACCGTCGGCCGGTACGCATTTATCTGCTGGCCTCCGTGTCCAGGAATGAATTAACGACGCCCGTCCCGCGTCCCCGATGATGTTCCACAAAATATTTCCAACGATTCATCATTCCTGCCGAGCGTAATTACCGTCCAACGGGGTGTTTCGTCCATGGGACAAGGTTCGCGTACGGTTCGCCGCGGTTTTTCCGGAAGTCAGCCAAGAAAATCCCACCCCTCGACGTGTTAATTGCCGTGAAACGAGTCTGTTCTTCTAATTTATCAATGGTCAACCAGATGAGATCGTTCGGACGTTGCTTCGAGTAGTACTTTGCAAATATTTTACAATATTCATGGGGACGAATGGACAAAGATTGATATTTTCGAAGAATTTTCCTCCGAGAATACGGCGATATCGAACAATTGCGAAATTGAACTGCAACCTTGAAGTTTCTCGAGAATTACACCGGACAATCGGACGCTAATGAATCACTTTCATTTGCAACTCGTTTCGCACAATTTGGTCTCCGTTAGCCACGCTGAATTAGATACACCGATGGTAGATAAGTAACTCAGCCGGACACGCGGAGGTTAGATAAATGGTGCACACCTGTACGAGCGATTTTTATTAGACCAGCTTTCAGATTCGTGGAGAATTTGAGGGAAAACCGTGCTTCGCTATTCAATTCCGAAGGCAATGAATTAGCATTTCGTTCACTTCTCGTGGGATTACCGAACGCGTTCGATATATTCAACCTGAATAAACCTAACCATTGAGACATCTATCTATACAATTTTCACTGTGTACCCAACGAATAAAACACACCCTTGTTAGTTCTGTCGTTCTTAATATTCGCACGAAGGAAAAAGGGACTCGTTATCCTTAAAATAACGATAGCTCCAACGGAAGTATCATTTTCTTTATCCATCCAGGCAATCGATACACCTATTCACGTTGATTTTTACTGTTAATTAACCAACAAAGTAACGAAGAAACTCGTGTTGCTCGCGGTACAAAGATCGTTCTTAACGCGTTAATTAACGTGGCTCGCGTGCATTTCAGTGGCTCGTCTAACGCGGCGCGCGGTCCGCGCGCCATTTCTCGGCGGAATATTCGACAACAAACAGGCCGAACAATGAGATCTCCCGTGCGCCTAATACAGCCGGCTCGTTAGTTGATCCTGCGTGGCTGCGCGCACGGTAATTAACAGAAATTAATTAGCGTGCAAGAAGAACATATTGATCGGAGCTCTGCGCGACCGGAATCGCCGTCTCGCGGAGACGCGTGCTCGAGTCGCGACCAACGGGCAGATCCCGCTATCTACCTTGCAGGGTGCGTTTTAGCGCGCGCGTCGATCGATGTCTCGTTAGCTTTG